GAGGCCAGTTATCGGCGGCTAGGACAGGGAGGTGTGTGGCTGAGGCCAGTTATCGGCGGCTAGGACAGGGAGGTGTGTAACTGAGGCCAGTTATTGGTGGCTAGGACAGGGAGGTGTGTGGCTGAGGCCAGTTATCGGTGGCTAGGACAGGGAGGTGTGTGGCTGAGGCCAGTTATCGGCGGCTAGGACAGGGAGGTTTGTGGCTGAGGCCAGTTATCGGCGGAAGGGACAGAGGTGTGTAACTGAGGCCAATTATCGGTGGAAGGGACAGAGGTGTGTGACTGAGGCCAGTTATCGGCGGAAGGGACAGAGGTGTGTAACTGAGGCCAATTATCGGTGGAAGGGACAGAGGTGTGTAACTGAGGCCAGTTATCGGCGGCTAGGACAGGGAGGTGTGTGACTGAGGCCAGTTATCGGCGGCTAGGACAAGGAGGTGTGTGGCTGAGGCCAGTTATCGGTGGCTAGGACAGGGAGGTGTGTGACCGAGGCCAGTTATCGGTGGAAGGGACAGAGGTGTGTGACTGAGGCCAGTTATCGGTGACTAGGACAGGGAGGTGTGTGACCGAGGCCAGTTATCGGTGGAAGGGACAGGGAGGTGTGTGGCTGAGGCCAGTTATCGGTGGAAGGGACAGAGGTGTGTGGCTGAGGCCAGCTATCGGCGGCTAGGACAGGGAGGTGTGTGGCTGAGGCCAGTTATCGGCGGCTAGGACAGGGAGGTGTGTGGCTGAGGCCAGTTATCGGCGGAAGGGACAGAGGTGTGTAACTGAGGCCAATTATCGGTGGAAGGGACAGAGGTGTGTGACTGAGGCCAGTTATCGGCGGAAGGGACAGAGGTGTGTAACTGAGGCCAATTATCGGTGGAAGGGACAGAGGTGTGTAACTGAGGCCAGTTATCGGCGGCTAGGACAGGGAGGTGTGTGACCGAGGCCAGTTATCGGTGGAAGGGACAGGGAGGTGTGTGGCTGAGGCCAGTTATCGGTGGAAGGGACAGAGGTGTGTGACTGAGGCCAGTTATCGGTGACTAGGACAGGGAGGTGTGTAACTGAGGCCAGTTATCGGCGGCTAGGACAGGGAGGTGTGTGGCTGAGGCCAGTTATCGGTGGAAGGGACAGGTGTGTGGCTGAGGCCAGTTATCGGCGGCTAGGAGCGCGCGGACTCTCGGCACGGTAGCATATAGTTAGGCCAGCTGTGTAACGGTCCAAGCACAGACATCACAAACAACCGCCGCCCTAGCGTTTAAAGGGAACTCTCGGCTTCTATATATGTTTTTTTTTCAGCAACTTCCTGATCCTTTGATGATCTTGGTAAGAATGCGGTGAGGGGATCAATAGGTGCACATTAGTAGGTACATGTACGTAATAAGAAAGTGGCCATTGAAAATTAAAAATTTTGCCTTTAAAATACCTATTTTATGATATTCATGCATGCTTTTTTTCACTGTTCCCTGTTTTACAATAGGAAAAACAAATGGATAATTAAATAAGCATGGTGTAAACAGTAAAGACGGATCGCACCCGTTTTGCTTTACGCGATTAACCCGCGCCCGGCTGGGGGTCCTGGATTTCCACGCCCTGCTGGGGGGGGGGGGGGGGGGTGTTTGAACACCCCCCCCTTGTAACTCGGCTCCTGGGCCACGAAGCGATACGCGGAAGGCGGCGTTCGAAAGAGCGTAAAAAATAATGACGAAATCACTTCGGTCAATTTTTTGGTCAGGTCAAAGGTCAGGTCACCAGAGGTCATTGAAGGCAAAATTTCGCCAATTTCCAGGTCGAATGTCGAAAATTTCCAAGAAGCCAACGCATAACTCGGGGACCAATAGAGCTACAGCGCCGCGGAAAAGCGCATTCGATAGCCCTATTAACGCCCTTTCTGAGTAATTCTCTCAGATTTGACCTAACGTCAACGGTTTTGCCTCCAGGGGGCAAAAACTGAAAAAATAGCCGATTTTTTTTCGGAAACAGTTTTTCTGCAATAACTTTTGACCCAAGCCTTGTACGAGCTTACTTTTACCGGAATCGTGTTCCTCTCGTCAAGACGCATCGAATGAACTATAACTTGACCTTGAAAGGTCAACTTGAAAATTTGACCTCAGGTCAAGGTCATGACCTGACCGGAAAGGGTCATGTTGCATATCAGTCGATCCGTATCGTCGAGCTGAACACATCTAAGGCGTTTTCATCGCTCTAGCATGCCTCTATCAAAAGTTATTTGCGAAAAACTGTTAGATACCATTCGTGACCTAAGATGACCTCAGGGCATAAACAAGGGTCACGGACACCATTTTCATGTTCAGTGTATCTAAACCACTTGTAATTCGGTGTTTGGGAGTGTTTATAATGTCTTTTGTCCAAAAGAGGCGCATTTCAATTTTCTCCCATTGACTTATAATGGGGAGGTCGCAAAATTGACCTGACCTTAGGTCATCGATATCAAAATTCTGAGATATACATTTTGTACATACTATTGCTCTTAGCAATCGCTGAAAGTTTCAAAGCGATCGGTCACTCGGTGTAGCTATGACAGACATTGAAACTTTTTATGAGGTGAGGTCACTTCAAGTGACCTGGTGACCTGACCTTGAATGACCTTGGTCTGAAATTTTCACAACATGTGTAGAATTGATGTATGATAAGGTGTACCAAAAACGGCGGCGCTCCGCGCCGCCGTTTTTGAAATATTCGCGAAAAACCACAAGGGGGGGTGTTCAAACACCCCCCCAGCAGGGCGCGGGTTAACTTGACCTATTTCTGCTTTTTTAAACGCACCTTGGCCGACGACTGCATTTGTAAAGGTTTGGAGGCGCGCCTTTGAATTAGAAATGAGCGGACCGTATTTGGTAACTACCCACGTCCAACATCAAAAAAAAAATGAGTTACACGTCGGAAGTTTTCAATGCCTGTTAGTAAACGGCAGCGAATATAGCGTTAGTCACGGTGAAGCGGGCGTCGTCGGGGGGGGGGGGGGGCGTCGGACGTCCTGACTCGTACCGTCATGGTGTCTGCGATAGTTCACAAGGTTTTCCGCAGAGGAAATGGCTGTACGGGCACTGGCTCGGTGTATAGAGCGTCCCTCGCTCTGCCGAACGACCCAGCCGGGGGTCTGTGGGCGTGAGGTTTCGCAGGCTCTGCAGATGTCGCTGGCGACGCCACCGCCCCTGCTGCTGAGACCTGGCCCAGGGCCAGGACTGATCTGTCGGTGGCCCTGTGTGACCGAGGGCTCCGGCACTGAGCTCAGGGCAGCCTGTGACCGACCGAGGGCTCCTGGACTCAGCTGCCGGTGGCCCTGTGTGACTGAGGGCTCCGGGACTGGGCTCAGGGTAGACTGACCAAGGGCTCCGGTACTGGGCTCAGGGTAGACTGCCGGGACTGAGCTCAGGGTAGACTGACCGAGGGCTCCGGGACTGGGCTCGGCTAGGCTAGAGGTCCTACATATATGATGGACGGCGACGAGGAATTTGCCCGGACGTCCCCAGTGTGCTCCGCGGTGGGGAAGGCAGGACTCGTAGTCCGTACTTATCACCGACGAGCAGGACCAGTCCGTACATTTGGAGTACGGCCCGAACCAGTCCGTACATATGGCGTGCGGCCCGAACTAGTCCGTATGTATGACGTACGGCCCGAACCAGTCCGTACATATGACATACGGCCCGAACCAGTCCGTACTTATCGACTACGGGCCGGACCAGTCCGTACAAATGACGTACGGCCCGAACCAGCCCGTTTTTATCGACTACGGGCTGAACCAGTCCGTACTTATTGACTACGGGCTGACCCAGTCCGTACAAATGACGTACGAGCCGAACCAGTCCGTACTTTCACCGACGAGCAGGACCAGTCCGTACTGTCCGGTCCAGTTGGTACGACCAGTCCGTACTGTCCGGTCCAGTCGGTACGACCAGTTCGTACTGTCCGGTCCAGTCGGTACGACCAGTCCGTACTGTCCGGACCAGTCCGTACTGTCCGGTCCAGTCGGTGACTCGGTACGACCAGTCCGTACTGTCCGGTCCAGTCGGTACGACCAGTCCGTACTGTCCGGTCCAGTCGGTGCGACCAGTCCGGTCCGGTCCAGTTGGTACGTCCGGGCCGCACTGTCCGGACCAGTCGGTGACTCGGTACGTCCAGTTCGTACTGTCCGGACCAGTCCGTACTGTCCGGTCCAGTCGGTGACTCGGTACGACCAGTCCGTACTGTCCGGTCCAGTCGGTACGACCAGTCCGTACTGTCCGGTCCAGTAGGTACGACCAGTCCGTACTGTCCGGTCCAGTCGGTACGACCAGGCCGCACCAGCCCCGGTCAGTCCGTTCTCATACCTATCCCGAGTCCGTCAGCCCGGCTGAGGCCGAGCTGTCCCGAAGTTGGCCGTGCCCATTAGCGGCGGGTAATAGACTGTAGCGGCGGGTAATAGACTGTGTCACTGCAAATGCACCGGGTCGGTGAGCGGTATTGAACCTCCGGGACGCTGGTGCCTATTCTGTTTGAACTACCAACTGTCAAGACAAACAAAGTCTTTTCCATCTAATTATAAGACTGTTTTGGTACTTACTGATTCACTTATTTGATTTTGTTAGTGAAAATTTGATGGTTCCCGCATTTACCTATTGTCTGACATTCTGAATAACACGTTTAGAATAAGTGCCTTTTGAGTGGTCGGTCAAGTTCAGTGGTTCGTTCCTTTGAAAAGATTGCGATGAAATTATGCCCTCGACTCCATGGCAAGTTGAATTGGCCATGGAGTAGCCAATTGAATTGGAGTGAATTGGAGTTTAATGCGCCTATTAAATTCACCTCCGACTATGCAGAGAGGGAGAGCAGCAGTTGTGTGCGCCCTCTGCACGTAGCATTCACGCTTATAGGATCGGACAGAGTGGATGCCTGTCTTTAGTCGTTTGGCGAGCCGCGGCCGGTCGTCTCTCGTTCGCTGGCCCATCAGCCCAGCGGCCGTTCAGCCCCGATCGCCGGGAGGTGGGACCCCCGCCCGCCGAGCCGCCCGGCACAGTCAGCTGTTCGTCGAGGCGTGTATTAGCCGGGCCGTCCGGCCGCCGGCGCCGTCACCAGACAGCGCGGCGGTACGGCCCTCGGTGACCGGCCGCCCCGTCCGACGGCGCACAGGCGGCGCCTCTCGGCACCCCGCACACCATCGCAGATGATATGAAAACAGCGCCGGCGCGCGGACCGCAGCGGTCGCCGCGCAGCGCCCCTCACGTCCAAAACATCAGCCCTCTCGCGTCCAAAGAGCGCCTTGCCGCGCCCATACGCACAGAAACGCGCACACTTCTCGAGAAAACACTCGCGTAACATCCAAAGTAGCGGATTTGGCCACATAACACTCGCAGCTGCCTAGCTCATCTCATCAGTTAACGTTCAATAAAGCGTGAATAGTCCGCTAGCAATGTGAAATAATGGGGCGCCTCGGCGCCGCGCTCTGGTGGCTGGAGCGTCGTTCGGGGCCCTCTGACGGCACCGCTCTCAGTGGGCGGCACTGGGGCCGGTATTCCCCGGCACAACCCGCTTGGATCACAGGCACCGCGCGCCGGCTACATGGACACGCACCGCGGCCGACATGGCCGCAGTACGGACAGACTCCGGGCCGCGGTCTGACCAGACTCAGCGGCCGCCTCTGAACAGACTCCGCGCCACGGTCTGACCAGACTCAGCGGTCTGAGCAGACTCAGCGGCCGTGGTCTGACCAGACTCAGCGGTCTGAGCAGAGCTCCCAGCACGGCGCCCACGACAGCAGTTCCCACTAAATGCCTTCCGTCTGTTCAGCACGGCAGGGCGCGGACACCTCCCGGGCACGGCGGACGCCGCGGCCGGCCCGCCCGGCCGCCGTGCCGCCGACTAGATATTGCAGGTGGCTGGCGGAGCGCTCTCCGTCCAGCTCTCAGGCGCTGCTGGCGCGGTCGTCGTGCAGGATGGTGCGCTCCTTGTAGTAGATCTCCTCCGACTCCTTGTCGCACAGCAGAAGGATGACGCCGCCGAACAGGAAGATGGCCGCGCCCCAGCCGACGCCGTACGCCCAGCCGAACTCCCAGACGGTCCGGTTACCTGCCGACCACAGGTCACGTCAGGTCAGGTCAGGTCAGCTCACCACGCGCTGCACAGAGGAACGGCGCGGCATACGGCGTCAGGGCACTGACGTGCTAAGGTAATGAATCTTAGTTACCAGTTGAGCAAGGTTCGACAAATATTTGAAGTTCGGCGGGAGAGGATCAGGTTACACTCAGATAGGTCACATATAGAATATAGAATTTAGGCCACCACTGGGAGCGGGTCTAGGCCGGTCCACAAGACGCCGCTCCCGCCTCGTAACATGTGACGAGGAGCGTCAGCAAACGTCAGGAATAATTCCCAGTTCATTCAGTGAACGAATTAGCCTTATTGCTCGCGTTCGGAGAAATAAAAACAAACCACAGTGATCGAAGCGTCCTGCACTCCCTGTACCTGATTTCCATAAGACAACCACCAAACGATCTCATAAATCGATAGCATTGGGCAGTTATAGGTACACTATACAGGGACAGAACAGCCTCCATAGGACTCCACTCGTGAACACGGGGTGCAGTCTCGGATAGGGTGCATTGTCACAGACTGCTTTCCTTGTGGTTATTTCAATAAAGCGTGAGACGGCACAGGACAATGCATATTTCAGAGGCAAATCAATAAAACGAAATGTCTGAATTATAAAGCATCAATGTCATTGAATAGCATGCTTTCCGTACGCCATAAAAATGTGAAATAGTCTAATCACGCTGGCAAAAAAAGGTTCAAGCAGCCATTTATGGGTTACGCGGAACCAGAAGTACAACACGCATCACAAAAGTACAGCAAACCACAATCATGAGGAAAACTCCATTTCATAATGCACCAAAGCTCGGAGTTCGGACGCCACTGATCGAGTAGATCGAAAAATAGAGGTCGAGTGCCTCAAAATTACTGAGTGCTCAAATAGCGTACAGGATATCCGACAGCATTGGTCAGTGACGGAGGAAGGGTTCAGGACTGGGCCGGACGCACGGCGCGGTCCGTTTCAGATTCGGAGCACTGCGGCACAGCATGCTTTCAGGCGCTCGTCGCTGCTGCCATCTATCGGCAGATATCGGAACTACTTCCTAGTCGCCGCCGTTCAGTCTCGGAAGCGCAGTATGGCTGTCAAGGCGCCTTCATTCCACAGCTAGACGCGGCATTCAGCATGGTGGTAGTAGACGCATTGATTTGGAGCGAACCCCAAGGCCGTGGCCATCGATTGTGGCCAGGTGGTCGCATTCCGAAATGACACGGCTTTGAAGCAATGCAGTTCCCACGAACTCAGCGTGGCAATTAGGCTTCGCAGTTCGCATATGCCGTATGGTTACCAAATCTTTTCTGCTTATAAACTAATACATATGTTGTAATGTATTTGTATTTGGACGAAGCATATATTGGTAGCGGAAATCGCACTTTCGGTGAACAGAAAACATGATGATGTTCACCGCTATGATGACGCTATGATTATCAGCTGACCTGTACAAATATAGGCCGTCTCAGCGTTTACCATAGTCAGTTGTTCGCTAGAATTTTGCGTTTGCTCCCGTTCGGTAATGAAGCTAGCTGAAGTGTTGCGTTAAGTAGCCCTATTCAAAACAGCCTGAGTACGCTTCCTTCCTGTCAGCTTTAGACTGAAGCTTGTTTCTCCTCAGACTGCGAGGGGATCGGACCCTGGTGACAGTTGTGAGTGAACCGGGCCTAAGGCTCGGGACGGGGACAGGCTGACCCGGCCCGCCCCGGGACAGGGAGAGGCCTAAACGTCCCGTCGCACAGGTCTGGGACAGGTGAACCGGGCCGTCCCGCAGGTCTGAGACAGGAGTCAGTGAGCTGTAGGCGTCTCATGCAGTGAATAGCGGAGCAGCTCGCGGACACTACCTGCTATGTTGTTCTGCTGGTAGCCTGTCGACGGACGGGACAGAGTGAGTCTCCCGATTATCGATATACATAGGATGGAGACAGCAAACACACATTTCTCGGTGCCAAGCTCCGTTCGCTAGCCAATGCAGCAGAGGTTGGCTGGGGCCGGCCTTGAGATGCTACTCCTCTGCCCGTCCCTGAGCAGCCCCGTTCCCTGCAGCTCTCTCCCATCCCCGAGCACTCACTCGTATTGCCTCCCTTCCCCCCCCCTCTCTCTCTCTCTCTCTCTCTCTCTCTCTCTCTCTCTCTCTCTCTCTCTCTCTCTCTCGGTCCTCCACTCGCTCTCTCTTGCCCAGTACTCACTCTGTTCCAGCTCCTGCGCGAAGCAGACCGGGTACACGACCAGCGCGATCAGAATGGAGATGACTGCCGACAGACAGAGAGCGATCAGACCGGGTACACGACAGACAGAGAGCGATCAGACCGGGTACACGACAGACCGGGTACACAACAGACCGGGTACACGACAGACCGGGTACACGACAGACCGGGTACACGACAGACCGGGTACACGACAGACCGGGTACACGACAGACCGGGTACACGACAGACCGGGTACACGACCAGCGCGATCAGGATTGAGATGACTGCCGACCGACAGAGAACGAGCGGTCACCAGCCGGTCACGAATGGGGAATTCGAACCAGTCCATTATATTTACTCTTGTTTGATCCATGAATAGTCTTTAACCGGTTGGGATTCCGGAGTGTTTTCTGACAGGTCGGTCAATGTTATCTCCCGAGGTGGTACAGCTGTATACATATTCATTTATGCATGAACGCCACTTATGCGTCAGGATGGAGGGAGAGAAGAGGATGGTAATAAGGCGTGTCATTACCACGGACACTAGGCTACGCCCCGGAAATGACGCAACGCCCCCCCTCCCGTCCCCCAGATGACACCTCCCTCAGACCTCGCCAGGGAAGCCGGTGCCGCGTCCCGCCCGGGCCGTCCGCGCGGCCTCTGCTCGGTCTGTCAGTATAGTCTCTCCTCAGGCTGTCAGTATAGTCTCTCCTCAGGCTGTCAGTGTGGCCCTTCTCCGGGCCGTTTGCGCCGCCCCTCCCCGGGCCGTCAGTGTCCCCGGGCCGCCCTGCCACTATACCCCCGCTGTACTCACGGGCCACGATCATGACGTAGACGGCGGCGCGGTAATAGCGGTACTTTTTGTTGGTGTCCTTGCTCCACAGGCCCAGCCCGGCCATCAGCGTGGCGAACGCGTCCAGCAGCATGCAGCAGATAGCCAGCGCCTCCGACACGATGATGTACGCTGCAGCGGACCGCGGGGCACGGGCAGGTCAGGTCATTGCACGGGACCCGTTGATTGGTCACTCGTCCAGTCCAAAACATCATGGGACCCGATAACATTACAAAAGCAAAATATATCTGAAAACTCACATTCTGATGAGAAATTATTGTTAGCATTATTATTGACACAATAATTCCAAATATGGAATGCAGCTTATGCAAGTGCTTAAAACACTAATGCAGCTATTACTTTTTCGTTAAACATGATGCTTTGTGAATAAATGAGTTAATAGTTCAGCCTGTATTTATCATAACTAAGTAAAAAATAAGCCTTATTAGAAAGCAGTTTTGCGAGACGTCTTCACGTATCGTGACCGGCCACTCGCCAGTCACCAGCCCTTGCCGTGCAGTGGTCAGCCACTGGACGGCCTAAGTCGAAATACGCACCGCGATAACTGCATCAGTGACGATAAGGAATAGCCCAGGAGCTGTGGACAAAAGTGCCAGGAGAGAGCCCCGATTGAGGCTCGTAGGCACCCCGAGGCGCAGGGGCCGATGGAGAGGCAGGCGAGGAAAGCAGTGACTGAAACCACGGCCCGCGGAATTGAAGAAGTTCTGCAGGTGCCAGTGGTTGGAGAGACGAGAGGTCAAAATTGACCAATTTGAACAACACTCAGGACCTTTTTCGGTTAAATTGTGTGGAATACTGGATAGTAGGTACTCTCAGACAGACTGAGCAAAAGATACCTAAAGCCGTCTACGCTCAACAGTAACCGGGCAACGTGAATAGTACGCCGCGGTACGGGGACCCGCAGTTGCTACTGTACCTACACGAACCCCAACTCTAGCCGTCTGTCCTGTCCACTCAGTCCAGTAACAACCGATAACATTGATATCAACTGCCGGTCCCTGTACAAGAGCAGCTGAGGTTTTATGTGCGTGCACTCTGACAGCTTATTTTTGTTCCCTGTGAGTGTGCTAAGACAATTTACTCAGGGTCGTTGTACAGTAGCAACTGCGGGTCCCCGTACCGAGCACAATGTTCCTGGTCCTGCTGAATATTTGGTCAGTCAAGGACTGACCTGACGCTGGAGGAAGGAACAGAACACATCAGCTAACAGCATCTTTCACGCACTGACAAGTCCTCGGCATGAAATACGTCGATCAATCCCTTCTCATCCCACCCTAATCTGTTGTGTTCCGTTCTGTTCCGTTCCGTCTCGTCCCGCCCTGTCCGTCCCCGCCCCGTCCCGTCCCGTCCCGTCCCGTCCCGCCCTGTCCGTCCCACCCCGTCCCGCCCCGTTCCGTCCCGTCCCGCCCTGTCCGTCCCCGCCCCGCCCCGCCCCGTCCGTCCCCGCCCCGCCCCGTCCTGTCCGTCCCCGCCCCGTCCCGTCCCGTCCCACCCTGTCCGTCCCGTCCCACCCTGTCCGTCCCGTCCCGTCCCACCCTCCCCGTCCCTGCCCCGCGTTCCGGCGGCGGCGCCCGTCGGCCGCGCCGCCCCCACCCCCCTCCCCCCGCCCCGCAGTGTCGGCCGGCCTCGGATCGATCAGTGGGTAACGGGGCCGACTCTGCTCCGGAGGCCGGCCGCCGGCCTCAGAGACCCGCCGCTCAGCGCGAGCTCAGCCCAGCCGCGCCCCACTGTCTCCCCGGCGAGAGTGTTTTGTTCTCGGGGCGCCAGTCTCACCCAGTCAGTGTGATGACTTATATCACAGTCCAGCTCCCAGCAGGCTCATCCCGACAGCGCCCGTCTCCGGCGGCGGCAGGCCAAAAGAGTGGAGCCAATTTTGTCACCAAACACAGGTTTTGCCCCGCCAAAGAATCGCCACTTGCACCTGCTGATACTTTTAACCTCCAAATCAAGAATTCATTTCCACGATGGGATTGGCTCCGGGAGGCTGGAATGAAAACGTATTAAAGTGTTTGCGCAGTTCGAGTTTGCAAAACTTGACCGATAAGCATCGCAAGTCATTGTGGCATTTACTTTCCTTTAAGAAGTTTGTGATGTCCCGTTCGCTGAGTCGTGAATACTGTGGCCGCCTGTGAGACCAATAGCTGCGAGTTCAGGAGAGCTCGGCGTTCGAACCGCGCTACGGGCCGTAGAGTCCGCCGCACGGACACCGCAGCACCCGAGCCCGTCCCTGTATTAGCCCGCGGCACCCAAGCCCGTCCCTGTATCAGCTGTATCAGCCCGCGGCACCCGAGCCCATCTCTGTATCAGCCCGCGGCACCCGAGCCCGTCCCTGTATCAGCCCGCGGCACCCGAGCCCATCCCTGTATCAGTCCGCGGCACCCGAGCCCGTCCCTGTATCAGCCCCGCGGCACCCGAGCCCGTCCCTGTATCAGCCCGCGGCACCCGAGCCCGTCCCTGCATCAGCCCCGCGGCACCCGAGCCCGTCCCGTATCAGCCCCGCGGCACCCAAGCCCGTCCCGTATCAGCCCCGCGGCACCCAAGCCCGTCCCTGTATCAGCCCGCGGCACCCAAGCCCGTCCCTGTATCAGCCCGCGGCAGCCGAGCCCGTCCCTGGTCAGCCAGCGGCACCCGAGCCCGCGACACTCGAACCCGTCCTTATATCGATACCGAAGCACCGGAGGGGAGAGAGTCGATAAAATCGGTACGATCGCCTCACACCGCCGGCAAGAGCAGGAGTCGCATCACCCCAGCATTTATGCATTTTACATTGCTTCGCCGGAACAACAGGTTCACTTTAACCCGCACCCAGCCTGCTCTTTGTAACATGTTTTCGTTGATGAACACAGTGATGAATGGATTTTGACATCAAATGGGTCTTGGAAAGAAACGTCAGTTTCTTTGGCAATTTGTCTCATAACTAGAGCAGGAATTTAATGAAGCAGCATTAACAGATTACGAACAGATTTTAACAACACACGACGTCCAAGCCTTAATTCGAGGGAGTACTGCAGATTAATTTGAATACAACGACGAGGCATCATGCAGTCATCATCGATTTTTTGTTACACTTTAGAAGCCCTGGCTACCTAGGCACGCATCGAACTCGAATAGTTGAGAGCCTAGAGGGCGGCTGCCAGTCCGGGTTTCAGGCGTACACCAAACAGTTTTAGCTGCAAATAAACTGCACCGATATGATATTGACTGAAACGCCAAGGGAAACAATATTTACTTGATTCCGCGGCGATTTCCCACGTAAAGGAAAGCCGGCCTCAGAGCTAGGGTACTTAATACAATGTTACCCATATCCCAGGCGCACGCATCCCTTGGCGAAACGAGCATTTGGCGAGATTAGATGGCATTTGAAGTCGAAATGGTGATTTGGGCAGAACTGAAACGACTACATATTGCTATCGTAATGCGGTCCTATGGTGTCCACGACTGTCGAGGAGCATGATGGCAGGACCATAAGGTTGGCTGTTAATTAAGGCTACACAATGGCACATTATCATTAATTTGAAACTATGAACAAATTAGAGTTTTGACACAAATTACTGTAAGACGCGCATGAAATGCAGGTTTGAGGAGCTCTTTTGTGTGCTTCTAATTTATAACAAGGTTTCTTTCTATGTTAGGCACAGAAGTGACTTGCACTTTTTGATTATTTCCAAAGTGCAAAGAATATTACCAATGGCGCCACATCTCTTTGACTGTCCCAGCTGCCAACATTTGTCCCCTGACCCCTCGGCGAGCCCTAATTCAAAATTGAATGGATGAACAATATTTCAAAACAAAACAGTATCACAAATCAACATGAAAAACGAATACAATCTATTATTAGCAATTGCTGAAGTTTCATGGGACAATAAAGTGTCTTTTGTAGGCACGTACACCTTTTCAAAGTTGACTGGCGAGTTATGGGTAATGACCCTATTAGTCCAGTGCTCTCCCGTCTCCCATACACGGGCATAAAAAAATCAGCTTTTAAATAGGCATCTGTCAAAATGGCGTTTGTTTGGTTGCTTTACCAAAAACTCGGTATCAAGTGTACAACTCCGTTGCTAAAGCCGTAGTACCTAACCGCTTCTACCAGAAGCCATTGCGGGAAATAGGATTGCATTGTGAAAGCCTGAATTGTACCGTCACAATATGGCGTCTGACTGCAGGCATCATCTCACATACATACATCCCGCATCGTCCCTAACGGCCATCTACATTCAGCGCAGAGTCCGACGGACAAGCCACGATTCCGTCAAAACATCGTCCCGGCATCTTTGCGGGCGTGTTGTCTGTTCTCGGCGTGTTGTCTGTTCCCGGCGTGTTGTCTGCGCCGCCGCCGGAGTGGGACGATCTCAGCATAGTCGCCCGCTGCTGCCATTCGTCCGACGTCAGACAGTGCCGGAGCCAGCCACTGGGCGAGGGAGAGGGAGAGGGAGAGGGAGAGGGAGGGAGACGGGCGAACAGCAGACGAGAGGCCCCGGGACACCAGCTCACCAATGGGTCAGAGTGGGAGGGTGCGGGCCATGGTGGGCCAGATAAGAATGTAACTGTGATGAGAATTAATATAGGACGTAATATAAGGCGGAACGAGCGTGATATAGTATTCATAAAAGGATGCGTCATGCGAGATAAAGTCGAATGAGGGTAGGATGATATCGGGCTGTAGGAGTGGAACGGAAGATGAGAGGGAGCGGACTAAAAGCTGCATGAGAGCGGACCAGTTACGAGGTGGCAGTTGAGTGCCACAGAAAATGACAGTAAAAGGAAAATGGCAGAGAATATGCAACTCTAAGCCATGGGACGGGGATGAGTGCCCGGCAGAGGCGCGGGCTGAGGCGACGCGATCTGAACTGACAAGGCATTGGACTATATCTGAGACGGGATTGGTCTGACCTGGGAAGGGATTGGTCTGAAATGGGACAGGATTGGTCTAAACTGGGACGGGAATGGTCTGAAATGGGTCGGGGTGGTCTGAAATGTGTCGGGGTTGGTCTAAAATGGGACGAGATTGGTCTGAAATGGGTCGGGGTTGGTCTGAAATGGGTCGGGGCTGGTCTGACAATGAAGGAAGTTGGCCAATTGAGACGGCATTGATCCATGACATGTGACGCGATTAGTCTGATGAAACAGGATTGACCCGAATCGGAACGGGGTTTGTCTGGATTGGGACGGCATTAGTCTGACATAGGGCTGGCTTGGTCTGAATTGGAACGGTATTGGTCGTCTGCATTGGGACCGGACTGACTGAACTGGGACGGAATTGGTCTGAACTGGTATCGGGAGCGTTTCGTCGGGTCAGTTGCTAATCAGGACAGGCGGCCGACGGGATCCAGTCGTCACCCGGCTGCGCGGCCCGGCGGCGGGAGCTGCAGTGTGGCCGAGACGCCCAGCTCGGCAGCGGGATCTCCAGTGTCGCCGAGACGCGCGGTCCGGCTGCCGGAGCTGCACTGTCGCCGAGACGCCCAGCTCGGCAGCGGGATCTCCAGTGTGGCCGAGACGCCCAGCTCGGCAGCGGGATCTCCAGGGTTGCCGAGACGCGCGGCCCGGCGGCGGCTCGGTAATCAGGCGGAACGCCGCGCTGGCTGAGGCCTGTCGGACCAGAGTCGGCCGGTCGGCAGAAAAACGGCCTGCGTCGTCAGCGGCGGCTGGCCGTCACCGGCGGGGGGGGGGGGGGAGGGGGTGATTAGTGCCGCCCCGGCCGGCACCGATCGATGGCAGGCCACGGCAGACCGTGCTCCCAGCGAAGGCGCGCCGCCGCATACATGAATATCTCCGCCTCCGCCGGGCGCGGCGCGGCGCGGCGGTCAGCGGCGGCGGCACCGACACGGTGGGTGCAGGGAGGGGTCAGGTCACAGTAGGAGCAGAGCGAGGTCACAGCTGCGTCACACCATGATCACCTGCAGCGGTCCGGGTGTCAAAACCGTTCCACCTGTGCGGCGTTTAAAGCCTTGACCTGCCAACTATATCACAGCCCCCGGCACCGGCTGAACACGATTGATGCGGGGTGCCCCCAAGCATGTTTTCAGAAGACGGCGCAACTCCAGCCAGATAATGACATCCGTTTGCAGGGCGGCCGGCTGCCGGACGGCGCGGCACGGCCGCTCCGAGGACTCCGAGAGACCTGTTCGGCCGCCGCCCGACTGGCGTGACAACTTCTCACAGCAGCGCTCCCTGGAAACAGCAGTGGCGCGCTATTTTGGTGCCGGGGCGGCCGTCCCAAGTCGCAGGCCGCTGCCACCAGCCCGTCACCACCGGACACAGGGGACTCAGGGGGACTCAGGGGGACTCGGGGGGACTCGGGGGACTCGGGGGGACTCAGGGGGACTCAGGGGGCGGCGCTGGGGTCGAGGGCCACGCTCCGCCACTCTCAGTCTCCTCTGATCGGGTTCTGCCGGCGCTGGGCGGTCAGGGACCGGCGCGCGTGTGTGTGTGGGCCGCGGGGACGGGGCGGGGCGGCGCGGGGAGTCGGTCGATGGCGGTGCATTGTTTGGCAGTCGGTCGCCGGCCGACTCTCGTTTTCAACGCCAGCCTCAGGCGACGCGCTCGAGACCGATATTGGGTCGGCTGGGGAGCAGGCGCGCCGGCCAGGGAGAGAGGCAGACAGAGGGACCGGGCAGAGGGAGAGAGGCAGACAGAGGGACCGGGCAGAGAGTCGAGCAGACGACAACTGATGACCGGCCTCGGCGCCGCCCGGGGCGATGCTCGGCTGGTTCCGCCGAGCGACCCTCGAGGGCCGCGCTGGGACCGGCCGGCCGCGGCCACAGCCAGTCGCAGCTGCACTGTGTGGCCGGGACGGGGTCAGGTCAGGTCAGGTCGGGTCAGCAGACGTACCGACATCCCTGGCGCGGTGGCAGCCGGGCTCGAAGGGCAGGTCGAAGGGCAGTGGCCGGCCGGCGTCCTCCTCTGTGCAGTGGGCAAACAGGCCCTGCCGCCAGCCGTCGCTGATGAGCCAGTCGCTGGAGGCCAGCGCCAGAGCCATCAGCAGCAGCACGATCAGGCCGCAGATGAACGCAATCACCTGCGCGGACGGAGGGGCACGGCGTCAGATACGGACAGCGACACGGCGTCAGATACGGACAGCGACACGGCGTCAGACACGGACAGCGACACGGCGTCAGATACGGATAGAGACACGGCGTCAGATACGGACAGGAACCCGGATAGGAACACGGATTAAGACACGGATAGATAGTAAACACGGCGTCAGACACGGACAGCGACACGGCGTCAGATACGGACAGAGACGCGGCGCCAGACGTGGACAGAGACATGTATAGATACACGGACAGAGACACGACGTCAGATATGTACAGAGACACAGCGTCAGATATGGACAGAGACACAGCGTCAGATATGGACAGAGACATGGAGAGATACACGGACAGAGACACGGCGTCAGACACGAACAGGAACCCGGATAGGAACACGGATTAAGACAGTAAACACGGCGTCAGACACAGACAGCGACACGGCGTCAGATATGGACAGAGACACGGCGTCAGATATGGACAGAGACACATGGTCAGACATGAACAGAGACGTGGTCAGATACACGGACACATGTACGGTCAGATATACGCCATCGTCTGCGATACAGGACAACACTGCATCAAAATTGCATTAAAACTTGAATATCAGGACATTACCCTTATGGACGCCGTTGGAACGACGAATGAGCGAGCGCAATGGCGCACACCTGCAAAGTGAGCTCCGCAGTTGATTTGGTTTGGCGCGGCCACCCATCCAGCTGGTCCCTCAGCACGGAGCTGGACAGATTTCTTACCATCGGCCCCTGCTTACTGTCTGACTGTACGACGTGTACGACCTCGAAGGAGAGGACAAGAAACAACATTTTATTCAGAAGCATGGGAAACGAATTCCTACAGGATGCAGATGCATGTACATACAAGAGGAAGAGGTGATCCCTCTGCGGATGGGCCAATCCCCGCCCTCAACGCACCTCTCTTTCGCCGTCCGGTAGACGCGGGCCCATCCCACCAAAACAAGCCGCCTCTATCCGCGTCTATCCGCTACCGTCCGGCAGACATGGGTCTCACAGCAGACACTCTATACATACCGCGTCTATCTACCGGAGGGCCCTTCATACCGGGTCTATCCGCCGGAGCGCCCTCTGTGCAGGGTCTATCCGCCGAAGGTTCCTCTAGTTATACCGGGTCTATTTACCGGGTGGTCCTCTATACCGCGTCTATGTACCGGGTGGTCCAGGGTCCTCTATACCGCGTCTATCTACGGAAGGGCCATCTATACGGCATCTATCCGCCGGCGTCCGGCAGACGCGCTAATGGTGTCGATGACGCATCGCCGGGCGGTGTGAGAGGGACCACAATGGCCGACATTGTGAGCCCTGATGACACACGGCTCAGCCCGGGAATGGCACCCGAGCCGGCCGACATTACCGCATCGGCGGCGAACCGCGGGATCCCTGGGGCCGACATAACCGCACCGGCGGCGGAGCGGGATCCCTGGGGCCGACATTACCGCACCGGCGGCGGACCGGGATCCCTGGGGCCGACATTACCGCACCGGCGGCGGACCGGGATCCCTGGGGCCGACATTACCGCACCGGCGGCGGAGCGGGATCCCTGGGGCCGACATTACCGCACCGGCGGCGGAGCGGGATCCCTGGGGCCGACATTACCGCACCGGCAGCGGAGCGGGATCCCTGGGGCCGACATTACCGCACCGGTGGCGGAGCGGGATCCCTGGGGCCGACATTACCGGCGGAGCGGGATCCCTGGGGCCGACATTACCGCGCCGGCGGCAGACCGGGATCCCTGGGGTCGACCAGTGGCGGCTCGGCCACAGGACGGCGACAGCGCTCCACAAATGGCGACACACCGACACATTATCGAAATTTAACGTCCCAGATCAAACAGATAGCTGTACCATTCCGCCGATAGCCGTCCTTCCACTGCCTTCATAAACAAGCTGAATTGCGGAAAACTGGCTCCGGCGCAGCACTTCGAAAGCAATAGCCGTTGTTTATAACTGAGCCGTTAGAGCGGCGACATGGCGCTGTCCGGTCCCGGCGCTCCGGGCCAATGTACGAGGTCGGGCCGCCACAGCAGCTCGCGGTGACGGTACGGTACGGTCGGGCTCCCGACACGGGAGCATCTCCCGGGCTGACCAGACGGGCTCGGTCCGGCGGGGTCTCAGGAAGGGGCCCGGCGGCCCGGCCGACCTGCAGGACGGTACCGTGCTCAGCACGCCGGTATGGCTATAGGACAGAGTACCCCGCACTGACACCGTGTCAGAGTAGAGTAGTACGGACAGCGCGGTGTCGCCGTGTCAGCGGACAGAGCCCCACCGACAGGGCGCTCCCACGGGGCGACGCTCGAGCTGCGGCGGACTGCTGATTGACCCGGCCAATCAGCCGGTGCTCGTCAGACAAACACGCCGCCGAGCCGCCCCGATTGGCGATCGGGACAGCCGGCGGCTCTGAGAGCCCCCGTGAGGAGGTGGGAAGCGGCTCAGAGAGCCCGCTGCGGGGAGGCAAGGAGGTGGACAGCGGCTCCCAGGGCAGTGCAGGGAGGTGGGGAGGTGGCACAGAGCCCCAGCACGCTTCCGCCACACCATACTCGGTCCTTCTCCCGCCCTGCTCGATCCTCCTCCCTCCTCCCGCTCTATTCGGTCCTCCTCCCGCCCTACACGGTCCTCCTCCCGCCCTACACGGTCCTCCTCCCGCCCTACACGGTCCTCCTCCCGCCCTACACGGTCCTCCTCCCGCCCTACACGGTCCTCCTCCCGCCCTACTCGGTCCTCCTCCCGCCCTACACGGTCCTCATCCCACCCTACATGGTCCTCCTCCCGCCCTACACGGTCCTCATCTCGCCCTACACGGTCCTCATCCCGCCCCACATGGTCCTCATTCCGCCCCACTCGGTCCTCCTCTCGCCTCTGGGCGGCGCCTAGACAGCTCCATCCTGCAGGAAATGTTGGAATTGGGAGCAGCGCGGCGGACCAAGACGCCGGCGGCGGGGCACAGCAGCGCCGGTGGCGGGACAATAATAACTGACGACAGTCCAGGGCACACGGATCGGCGGCACGTCCGCGGCGACCCGTTCCCATGGCAACGGCAGCGACACGGGACCGGGACGCAGCCTGCTCTCTTGTTGTTGATTGAGGCTTTAGGGCGCGCCGACTGCTAAGGTCATTTTGCGCCCATAACGTCGTACTAATAAAACAAGTGTGCCACAAGAAAGAACCTTCTAGATACTAAGACTAGAAAGTAAGACTCGATATAAAATAGCAAGGTAAGATAAAACAGCGCAAAGGTGTCGTCCTAGACAACTGACTAGATGAAAGGACTAGAGAGGGCTAGTTGGATTGGGGTCAGGTCGAGTATATCACTTGGAAGTTGATCGAACGGATAAAAGAAAAGATGTTGCCGGATAAAACCCAGGGTGACTCGTCACCCAGTAAGCGGCGGATAGTGGTACCCGGAGCGATGCGCCCGAGGTAGCGTGTCCGGTTCGGTTCAGCGAGAGGACAAGATAAAAGCACGTGAGAGACAGTGAGAGGCACGGTACACCTGCGACAGGTGGGCTGCTCTTCTCCGCGGAGGAGATGACCATGCGTGGCATACGTATGGCCGATGCGCAGCCTACATAAGACGACTTCGTTATGTCTGTTACTTTGCATGGATGACGACCAAGGCTCGAGAGTTGGCTTGATATCTCTCAGCTTACTGCTCGCGCGCGAGTCCCACTCTGCCTGCCACTGCGAGAGCATGGAAGATCGTACGACGGGATAGTAATCCCGGGCAGGCAGAGGAAATCGCCGAGTGTAGGGCGCTGCGGCAGCGCGTCTCGCAGCGGCGTCAGCAAGCTCGTTGCCTTGGATTCCAACATGACTGGGAATCCAGCAAAACCGGATAGTTTTTCCGGACTGTTCCACCGAAGTTAGCCGAGTTAAAATGTCCTGAATGATCGGGTCGTCAGGATTAAACCGTCGTAAAGCCAACAGACTGCTTAGTGAGTCTGATAAAATCAAATAGAAAAAACCGTCGGACACCTCAATAAAACACAGAGCCTTTTCGATGGCGACTAGCTCTGAGGAAAACACCGAGGCGCTGGGTGGAAGGGAAAACGAGCGGGTGTCCCGACCAGCGACAAAAGAGCAACCCGCTCCCTCGGATGTTTTTGAGCCGTCTGTGTAGACTGAAATAAAACCATCATACGAGGCTATATGCTCCAAGGCTCTGGTTTGTGATTCATAGGGCAGCAGGCTATCCTTTTTTACTTCGGAAAGCGAGAGGTCTACCTGCGGTGGGGCGTTTCTCCAGGGTGGAGAAGGCGTTCCCCAGATACGCCGAACGCCGCGCAAGGCTATATTCGATGTAGAGAATAAACCTCTCATGCGTGCTCCGAATGGATGACTCGTCCCATTACCAGATGAAGCAATGTGACGCGAAAAGACGTACGGGTACGTCGGATGCGTCGGGAATTGACGTAGTTTAAGAGCATAACGCATCCCCAGCGTCTGACGGCGGAGAGAAAGTGGCGGCTCGTGCGCCTCAGCAAGAATGCTGCTCCTGGGCGAGGTGCGGAATGCTCCGGTGGCTATTCGGAGTGCTGCATGATGGACTGTATCCAGGACCTTCTTGCTGGATTCACTCGCTGAATCATAGACAAAGGAAGCGTAATCCAGCTTCGATCGTATAATCGATCGATAGAGAAGAAGAAGGGTCCTGCGGTCCGCACCATAAGATGTGCGGGCGACACATTTTAAAACGTTCAGGGATTTAAAACATCGTTCCCGAAGCGTTCTAAAATGTTCTCTATACGTCAAACGACTGTCAAAAAAGATTCCAAGAAACTTCGCCACCGGCCGAGTAGGAATCACCTGTCCATGGAGCTTGATTCCCAAGGCTAAGTCGTCACAGCGGCGGCGGCAAAAGTGCATAGCGACGGTCTTCGTTGTTGAAAAACGAAGGCCGTTGTCGTCGCTCCACCTCTCCAGACGGGTTACAGCGAGCTGCAGCTGTCTGGCAACGTG